CCTTTACAATCTGCCTACTATACTTTTCTGCAGCAGCGCACTGTTGGCGGCACATGGAGGCTGAGGCAGGGCGGCAGCAGTGGTGGTGGTCAGATATGTGGTGATTGCTAACCTTGGCTCTGATACCAGTTGTTAGGATTAGGGCGCACACACACAAATTAACATGGTTCAGCCAGTAACACTTACTGACCTAATCCACGGGGGCAACTAGGGTTTTCTTCTTTATTGAGGTGATGAATGATACAGATTATAGTTTAAAGTACATGAGTCAATATATAGGCAAACAATTAGGGTAAAACACTTAAAGAAGGTTCTGGGCCTGACTGCCATCAAAGAAATAGGCCCAACTAGGGTTGTCTGCACATTTAACTAGAGCAGGCTGCTGCTCTTTGTTTACATGGCTCCCAGATCTGAGTGGGCCAAAGCCTACAACCCAACAATAGAATCAGAGCAAGGTGGATGAAATGGAAGAGTGCATCAGAATTTCTATGTGCTCGAGGTATGCCGAGTAGACTGAAGGGTAAATTTTATCGGAAATCAATTAGGTCTACATTAATGTATGACGTGGAGTGTTGGGCGATAAACAATGTCACATTTAATAGTTGAATGTGGTAGAGATGCGTATGTTGCGATGGATGTGTGGACATACCAGAAAAGAACGTTTGAGAAATAAGATCATCAAACAAAAGGTGAGAGTAACACCTATAGAAGATAAGATATAGGAGTTTTGTTTGCGTTGTTTGGTCATGTGCACATAAGACTAAGTGATGCACCTGTTAGACGACGTGAGAGGTGGGGGAGAAGAGGCGAGGAGGAGAGGGAGAGGAAGACCCAAACAGACTTGGTTTAGAGGAATTAGAACTAATATGTTTCTTCTTTGTCTTTCTATGTTCTTATGTTATTTTTATATTTCTTATGGCCTTTTATCTTTTTATGTTTTATCTTTCTAATGTTATTATTTAATTTTATCTTATATTTATTTTTATCTTATCCATTTTATCTTACTTTATCTTTTTGTTCTTATCTTCTCTTTTTGGCTCTGAATCTTAGATCAATTCATGTTAGCCGACACCAAAATCTTTTGGGAATAAGGCTTGGATGTTGTTGTTGTTGTATACTTACTAAACGATCTGAGAAATATGTGATGGAACTATGGAAAAAAGCAGTGGGTCCAAATGGCATATCGATTGAGGCCCATAGAAGTTCGAGAGAGAGACATCGAGTAGTTAACACATTTCTTGAACAAGATTTGAAGAAACAACAAAATGTGTCAACTATTGAGAGATTAAACTTATGAGTCACACCATGAAACTTTGGGAGCGAGTGATTGAGCAAAAACTCCGAAAAAGTATGAAAATTTCGGAAAATTAATTCGGTTTTATGTCTGGTTGCTCAACAACTGAGGTCATTGACTTAGAAAAGACATACGATAGAATACCTCGAAGAGTCCTTTGGTAAGACTTAACTAGAAAAGGCATATCATGTAAATTTATCAGCATCATCATGGATATGTATGAGACTTGTGCTACAAGTATCCGTACTAGTGTAGGGAGGATGGCATAGTTCCCTATTACTATTGAAGTGCACCAAGAATCAGCTCTGAGTCCTTTTTTATTCACTATAAGCATGGATGAAGTTACGAAGTCAATTCTAGAAGATATATCATGGTGCATGATGTGTGCCGACGACATTGTATTAATTGATGAAACATGATCAAAGTGCTACAACAAAGTTGGAAATATAGCAACAAACATTAGAGACAAAGGGTTTCAAACTGAGTTGAAGCAAGGCTTAGTATATGGAGTGCAAGTTTGGTGGAGGTTGAAGAGGTAACACTGGAATTACGCTTTATGGCAAGGAGATACCGGTTTGTGATATGCCCCATTACTTGGGCCCCATAATTCCAAATGACAGTGAACTAGATGGAAATGTATCCCATAGAATAAGAATAGGGTGAATGAAATGGAAGACTACGTTAGGATTTTTATGTGATCGGGGTATGTCGGCTAGACTAAAGGGCAAATTTTATTAGATAACAATTAAGCTTGCATTACTGTATCACGTAATATGTTGAGTGGTGAAACAATGTCACATTCAAAAGATGAGTGTGGCAGACATACTTGTCACGGCGGTAAGGCGAGTCGCGGTGCTAGCCAACCGCCATATTGTCTAGGCAAAAAGGGGCGCCCGCCTACGCGATAATTAGGGGACTTGTGGCACATTACGTAATATATTATATATTTATAATTATATATATTTATAATTGTACATAATATTCTGTTTAACTATATTTGATTGGTAATTTATTATGTGTTCCCTCCGTTTTTTAATTGCAACATTGTCTTTTTCGCGTTTGCCAACACACAATTTTGACCGTCATTATATTTAATTTTCAATAAGAAAAAGTAAAATCAAATCAAATTATAAGACTTTGTAATGAGACGAATTCAACAATATTTTCAAAAAAAACTAATTCACGTAAATTAATAAATAAAATGCAGTCAAAGTATAGTACATGAATAGTATTGTAGGCAAAGTATGATACGATATGGAGGATAGTATGGTATATAATATGTATAATATACATTACTAATTAATAAACTGTATGCGCTTCATTGTTATGAAGTAACAGTCAGTCTATGCAATTTTCAACGTGATCTTCACTATAGGTCATTCGAAAACAGTCTCTCTGTTCTTTAGTACAGCGGTAAGACTGCGTACATCCGACTCCACTTTACCCCACCGTAGGTGGGAGCCTTTGCAGCAATGGGGTAATGATGATGATACATTCATACATTACTAATTGAATTTTATATTAAATAGAGTTTACAACAACAATTAATAAATGAAAACAGCAAACATATTTATAAAACTATATACCACAACATACATGTTTATAAAATACACAAGTATATGCTATATAATACTTACTCCGTCCCTTATAACTTTGCCAAGTTTGACCAGCTCGAGGATTAAAAAAGTAAAAATTGTGTGGTTGAGGTTTGTGCAGAGAAAAGAGAATTAACAGAAACCAAAAATTCTTTACTTAAAACGGAAAGTGGCAAGGTTAGTGGACATCCAAAAAGGGAAAGTTGGCAAAGTTTTAAGGGGCAAAGGGAGTACGTAGTATATTACTCCACTATATAATATGCATATATATATATATATACTACCTCCGTCCCGTTGGAATGTTCCCACTTTCCTTTTTTGGATGTCCCAATGGAAAGTTCTCATTTCCCTAAATGGAAAGTTATCATACAACAAAACAGTGTCAAACAGTGCAAAACAGTGTCAAACAGTGTCAAACAGTGTCCAAACAGTGTCCAAACAGTAAAATTTACCCCCTGGTAAGTTTATTTCCTTAATATGTGTGTAGGTCAAACCGGGAACATTCCAACGGGACGGAGGGAGTATATATATATATATATATATATATATATATATATATGTGCCTAAATTTGTGTCCCCACACCCCAAAAAAGTATACCACTTGTCCACTTGCAGTATTAGATAATGGGCACGCTCACACACTTACTGCTACCGCTAGAAGAAAAAAGATAGGCTCACATGTGGGCTCTCTTACTGCTAGAAGAAAAGATGTGAACGAAGCTAGATGCTCGACTGGAGTTGTACGCAATGCCGGTATGGCCAAGTTCAGAGCTTCATTCGACGATTAAGTTTAAGAATGGGCAAGTAAGACTTGGGCTTTATTTGAATTCCTAATTAAATTAGTTTCCTAAATCTGGGCCTGCGGTTTGGACTGCGAAAGATTAATCTATGATGAAGGAGTGAGTTACACTCTGGTGAATGTTTTTCGCCAAACTGACAACTGAACAACGCCTGAAGGACGCCGCGGTCGCATATTCTTCTTACGGAGAAGCGATGGCTCATGGCGACCCCTCCACAGCGACTAGACGCCTAGTCGACACTGTAAAAATTATGATCGCATAAATGTGCATGTTGCGTTGGATATGTGGACATATCAGAATAGACCGCTAGAAGAATGAGATAATAGGACAAAAGGTGGGAGTAGCACCTATAGAAGATACGATGCACGAGTTTTGATTGTGGTTGTTAGTCGTGTGCTCGGAATACCAAATGATGCACCGGTCAGGAGTAATATGCTCCTTATTGGGTTGAATGAGAGTATGAAGTTGGAGAGAGTAAATGGAGAGCAAAAATTCATGCGGATGATTAACCTTTTTTCTCTTTTTTACTTTTATCTTTTATCTTTTTTATCTTTCTTATGTTCTTTACCTTCTATCCTTTTTGTTTTATATATAAAGATATGCTTTTTACCCCTTTTATTTTGTTTTTTATCATTATTATCCTTTTTATTTTGCCTTTGCTTTTTATTTTACTATCTTTCTTTTCATTTTGGCTCTTAATATCATGTATCGATTTATGTTAGCCGACCTCAAAATCTTTTGGGACTAAGGCTTAGATATTTTTGTTGTTGTTGTATTACAACAACATTGCCCTAGTGCCACAAAGGCATCCACCGACACTGGGGTAAGGAGGGTCGGATGTACACATTCTTGTCCATGTACTAAAGTACAGAAAGAATGTTTTCAAATGACCCATTGTTGTTGTATTAGGATGTTTTTACTTGGACTGGTCTGGTCTAAACTGATTTGTTAATGTCTGGTCTCTTTGTATTTTTAGTAACTATCCAAGTCTGGTCTGGTCTCTTTGTATTTTTAGTAACTATCCAAGTCTGGTCTGGTCTGATCTGGGACGGATTACAGTACAAGTAAAAACATCCTTCTATTTAATAAAAAATGATTTCAATTTCACCAGCACATCTGCTGTACTGTGCATAGAACTACTAAAAAAACCTTCTTTTCAGCTCACAAATGCAGTTCTAATCACACATGACAGCTACTACCAGCTTTTTTTCACATCACAGCTTCAAAATCGCAGTTTAACCCAAAATGTGATAAAAAAAAATAATGCAGTCGGAGTGGCGGGGAATTAATCCATTTAAATGCAAATATTACCTCTCTCTCTCCTGCATTGGTGTTATTGGCAGTAGCTTTCCTAGATTTATCTTTCTTAGCTTCAGTGTCTTTCTTGCACGCCTTTGCTTGTGCCTGCAATAACTGGCCCATGTAAATACATAGTAGCATATTGTTTAATTATATTCTAGACCCAAATTGTCAAAGTAATAAGAAAAGATTGTTCTTTTCCCAGATGTTTTAGCAGAGATATATACTAAACTGCACCAAAATGTCTACGCGAAGGCCGAAGCCAAACTATATATTTAACTATAGAAATATAATAATCCCAAATTGACAAGTACATACGGAGTATATGGTTTCTTACTCTCAATCTTTACAATTTCTCTTTTCCGTTCCAGTTTTATTAATCCAATTATCTCTATATAAGTATTTTAAAGGTGTTTAAAGTACAATGGAGTTATAACTTAAAAACTCATATTAAGAGTACTGGAAGAAATACTGGGGAGGCGCATTATACCATATACACAGCAGACTGCTGATTTATTTTTTCCCATATAATTTTCTTGTAATATCTCTCCTCTTTGGTGTTAAGGTATCCAACAACCTTTAAAACAAAAACCACACGAACATATGTCCAACAGCATCATACAGACATGCCCATGAGATAGTTATAGAAACTAATTTGGTGCAAAAGAATTTTTTACTTTGACTTGAAAAAATAAAAAAAATACTATGTTTGTGATGTACTTCACTATCATCAACATCAGAAATACTTTCTGTCTTATCCACACTTGCACTCCCACCACCAACGAGTTTTCTTTTTGTAACACCTGAATCATCACAAAATAAATCTTAGCCGTTGGATTACTGTCTTGATATTATTATTAAGTCTTTGTTTAGAAAAGTAATCAAATTTAGTTTACCTTTACATCTCATTGTCATGGGCATCTTTGCAGTCGGATTATTGTGTAGATTCACACCTTCAATAGCCTGAACACCAAGAAAAGGCAAGAAAGTGGTGAGCTCCAAAGTACTAGATGTAGTCCATGTTGAAATGGAATTACAAATGGAGGCCTACACTGTACAAAGACAAGGCAACTCATTTTGGAAGCGATGATAGTTACATGAATATTTGAAGGAAATGTAATTTTATGGTAACTAATACTATTATAACTATCAAGAATTTATATTAAAGAACACTGTCAAATATGCCCCTGTACTATTGCAAATACAGAAATGAAGCCCTCATATTATACTACCACTCACTGAAACCCCAAACATTAAAAAAAACACCACTAAATCTTTTTAGGGGGTTAACAACTGGTTAGTGATGCATTCATAGGGCGTCAATATCACCGTAAAAGAAAGAAAGATAAAAATCAGCAAATAACACAAACAAATCTGACTGATTTGGAAGACAAATAAAATCAAACAAATCTGGGAGACAAATAAATCAGACAAATCTGATTGACATGTCACAGTCAGGGATTCCTGAGAGATCTGAGATATTATTTTCTGATTGCAATCTTCGAATTATTGTTTTCTTTTAAGTTGTTTTCTTTAATTTATTTTCCAAACTTTGTAAAGCCTATTTATTGGCCAGTTGAATGCAGGGAAAAGGTATGCTAGCTTTTAGCAAGAAAAGTCTAAGGGAGTTTCTGGAATTCTCAATAAAAAATTCCAACTTGTGATAAAAGTTTGCATAATTATATTCTTCCCAGTTTTCTGCCAAACAGCAAACATAGCCAACCCATCCAAAGCTCAGTCTACCCTCCCACTCACTTGAAGGTCTGTGACGAGATCTTGCACACAGGCTGCCTGTATCATTGGTTCTGTTGCCGGCGTCATGGGCGATGGGCTGTTTGCATCAAAGGAAGAAGTCTCCAATCTGAAAGAATCCATAGATCAACTTGAACAGATGATGGAAAAATTGCTTGCAAACGGAGGTAAAACTGCAACAATAGAGGCTACCAATGCTGATCCAGTGGTGGTACATGCATCAGACAACATGAATCACATGGCTACTACTCATGGATCACATTTTGAGTTTCCCCTTTTCTCTAGCACGGAAGATCCACTCAGTTGGCTTTATCGCTGCGAGTTATTCTTCATGAATCAGAATGTTCCCCCTGCCAAACGAGTTTCTATGGCTGCTTACTATCTCACTGGAGATGCTCAGTTGTGGTATCATCATCTATGCCAAGATCAGCCCCATATTTCTTGGGAAACTTTTCGAGATTACTGCACTCACATATATGGTCCCCCTGGTGGTGCAAATCCATTAGGGGATTTGACAAATCTAAAACAACAAGGCCGTCCAATTGAGGAATACATCACACAGTTTCAGAACAGCCTAGCACGTGTTCCACCACTTCGTATGGACTACCAAGTTTCCATTTTCACAGCTGGGTTAGACGAGGTGTTGCGAATAGATGTGGAACATCAAAAACCATTGAATCTGACTATGGCGTTTAGTGAGGCAAGACTATTTGCGAGAAAGTTGCAGCTTTGGACTTCGACTCATCCCAGAACATTACGGCCGCATCCCAAGACAGTGCACTTCCCGACATCAGCCACCACACAATTACCACCGGGTGCAGGACCCTCAATAACTCGGTCAGCCCCTCCTCCATACATGAAGAGGCTATCCAAAAGTGAAGCAGCAGAACGGCGAGCGAAGGGACTTTGTTACAACTGTGACGAAACATATGTACCGGGGCATAGATGCAAACGACTATTCTGCCTTTGGATGGATGATGACGAGGAAGGGTCTGAAAGTCACATTGAGCCCACAGTTTCCCCTTATGCCATGGCTGGACTTCGTCACCCCAACACGCTTCAAGTGCAAGTCCAATTGGCCGGTAATTATGTTCTTGCAATGATTGGTTCAGGGAGCACCCATAATTTCATCAATTCCCAAACTGCCCTCTCACTTGGGTTGCCAATAACACCTCACCAGGATTTTCGTGTGGCAGTGGCTAATGGAGAAAAGCTACTCAGCACAGGTGTGTGCGAGCGAGTAAGACTTGTTAAGGCCGGTGCCACATTCCTGATTAATCTTTTCGTCTTACCGATATCAGGGTTTGATATTATCCTTGGGGTAAAATGGTTAGAGGAATTGGGTGATATCGTGTGTAACTTTAGAGAGCAAAGGGTCACCTTTACCATACAGGGAAGAACTACTTGGACAGGAGATGCAGCTCCAGTTGGCACTACTTTGAATTCTATACATCCTACAATTTTTAATGATCAAGCAATGGAGGAGCTTCTGAGTTACTTTGACACCATTTTTTCTGATTCTATGGCACTGCCTCCAACACGCAATTGTGATCATCGTATTATTCTCAAAGCTGGGAAAGATCCTGTTGTTGTACGACAATATCGCTACCCACAACTGCAAAAGGATGAAATTGAGAAGCAATGTTTGGAGATGCTAGAAAGTAGGGGCGGGCAAGAATCCCGGTCCCGTTGTCCCATTCCGGTATATCCCGAAACCGTACCGGTGTTGTCCCGTTTCGTTTGGGTCTCATTGATTTTGTCCCGCACCGGTCCCGTACCGGTTTAAAACGGGACGGGACCGGGACATTGGAATGTTATCCCGAATCGTCCCGTTGTCCCGTTTGTAATAACTATATAGATTTTGTAGCATGTGACTAGTTTGTAATGTCAACTCAAAAAATAAATGATAACATGTTTTTAGTTTTTCAAGCCCAATTTTTAAATTAAAAATAATACCTAACATAAATGTTTACTAACATAAGTTTTTACCTCACTTTATATATCTGCATATGAGTATCTCACAACTAGAACACATGATTTTGAATAAACTAATTCATTTTTGCTTTGTTTATATTTAAATTTCAAATTTTGCTAAACCTAACTAAAATCTAATACGTAGTAGCTTTTAGCTTGTGATGAACATCAATTAACTTTTAAAATGTTAATATTTTGGTGCATGATATTTTAGAAATGCTAATATATATTAGTTACAAATGATTATTTTTTGTTAGTTTGGGACATCCCGAACCGTCCCGAACTGTTCCGAATCATCCCGGTCCCGATTTAATTGGGACAAGACTAGGACAAAGGCTTGTCCCGTACCGTCCCGTCCCATTATTATTAATTGGGACGGGACCGGGATAACCCTAATCCCGAACCGTCCCGACCCATGCCCACCCCTACTAGAAAGAGGACAAATTCAGCCAAGCCGAAGCCCGTTTTCATCTCCAGTACTCTTGGTTACCAAGAGTGACAACTCATGGCGCTTTTGTGTAGATTATCGGGAACTCAATGCACAGACCGTTAAGGATAAATTTCCTATTCCGGTAATTGATGAGCTCTTACACGAACTTCACGGATTTCAGTTCTTCACAAAGCTTGACTTGCGCTCAAGGTACCATCAAATACGCATGAGGCTAGAAGATGTTGAAAAAACAGCATTCCGCACCCACCATGGACATTTTGAGTTCCTGGTGATGCCATTTGGCTTGTGCAATGCACCGTCCACCTTTCAAACACTTATGAATGAGGTATTCGGGCCCCATCTTCGTAAATTTGTCTTGGTTTTTTTACGACATATTAATCTACAGTCACACTTGGGTGGAGCATCTACAACACATTAGAATTGTGTTTGGATTGCTCCGAACTCATCAAATGTTCTTAAAAAGGCAGAAATGTGTTTTCGGCGTGCTAAAGGTAGCCTATCTCGGACATGTGATTACTGGAAATGGGGGTGGCAGCAGATAATTCAAAAATCCAGGCAATCATTGATTGGCCTGTACCAGTCACAACCACTGCACTTCGTGGATTCCTTGGTCTTGCTGGTTTTTACCGACGTTTTATCCGGAACTTTGGTGTGCATGCAGCACCTTTAACTTCACTCCTTCGTCGCAATGCATTTTCATGGTCCATTGAAGCTCAAACTTCATTTGACAAGCTCAAAACTGCCTTGTCTGGTACACCTGTATTGCAATTACCCAACTTCTCCAAACCATTCCTAATTGAATGTGATGCATCAGGGGTGGGTATGGGTATTGGAGCAGTTCTACAACAAGAAAACCACCCTATTGCCTTCTTCAGCAAGAAGCTTGCACACCGCCACCTTAAGCTGCCGGCATATGAGCAGGAATTGATAGGCGTAGTCCAAGCAATACGAAACTGGAGGCACTATCTTTGGGGTTGCTCTTTCGTGATCCGAACTGGTCATTATAGCCTAAAATACTTACTCCAGCAACACCTTACAACTTCACCACAACAGCATTGGATGAGTAAACTCTTGGGTTTTGATTTTACAGTCGAATACAAACCTGGAAAACTGAATCGCGTGGCAGATGCTCTATCACGGAGGGATGCAAATCCAGCAACCCTCATGGCAGTTACCATGGTTCTGTTACGGATGCATTCTGGGGCAAACAATACAACAGGCGACAGGGCCCGGAACGAGCCCAGCACATTGCAGATTCAAGCCCGGACAATGGGCCCAAATATACCGGGAAACAAAGTGGCTGAAAGAAAACTATTAATTAGTTATTACTATTATTCCTATTTCAGTTTTAGGCAACTGCCTAATTATTCTAGTTTCCTATTCAGTTTTAGGCAACTGCCTAATTATTATAGTTTCCTATTTCAATTTTAGGCAACCGCCTAATTATTATAGTTTCCTATTTCAGTTTTAGGCAACTGCCTAATTATTAATTGCCTTTAGGACTCTTGTATCAGCCTCTATATAAGGGTCATTATTATTATCAATAAAGTACCGTTTGGAAGAATTAATTTTGTGTCTTGACTAGGTCGGACATCAATTTAATTCCTACTTAAGATTTCAATTCTTCAGAAATCATAGATTCCTTCCCTGTCAATTACCTTCCCTCTGAATTACAGAAACCTTCTCGTCCCTGGACGAGATCTTTAACAAAGGTTCTCAACAGGTTCACGCCCAGTTAATGGAGGACTTAAGGAAACACTTTCAGCACTCCGAGGAAGGCCAGATTGTTTTCAACAAAGCAGCACAAGGGGGAAATTCTAATTGGACAGTTCGTGATGGTTTGGTCTATTACAAGTCCAAAATATATGTGCCGACTGGCTTTAATTATATCCCTACAATCCTCGCAGCAGTTCATAATGCTACTCATGAAGGGATTCAAAAGACGCATCGCATAAAAAGGGAATTCTATTGGGACGGCATGGCATCCTCGGTAAAGGATTTCATCACCAATTGTGCTATTTGCCAAAAAAATAAATGGGAAAACTTGCACCCAGCGGTTTACTCCAACCTCTACCAATTCCTGAACAAATATGGGCTGATATTTCAATGCATTTTATTGATGGGCTATCAAAGGTCGGGGGTAAATCAGTTATCTATGTAGTGGTGGATCGATTCTCCAAATACGCTCACTTTATGGCATTGTCACACATCCGTACACAGCAGCGTCAGTGGCTCATTCTTTTTTCGGTAATATCTTTAAATTACACAGCCTGAAACAATAGTCAGTGACAGAGATGCAGTCTTCACAAGCCTATTCTGGAAGAAACTCTTTAAGTTATGTGGCACACACTTGGCATTTTGTTCATCTTATCACCCACAAACGGACGGTCAAACAGAAGTCGTTAATCGCACACTCAAAATGTATCTCAGATGTATGGTAGGAGATCACCCACGCAGGTGGGTAGACTGGCTGCCATGGGCTGAGTTCTGCTATAACACCTCTCTCCATTCGGCTTTGGGTACTTCACCCTTCAAGGTCGTATATGGGCGCGAACCACCGAGACTTATATCCTACGAACCAGGATCATCCAAAATAGAAGCAGTTAGGGGCAGGCAAGAATCCCGGTCCCGTTGTCCCATTCTGGTATATCCCGAAACCGTACCGGTGTTGTCCCGTTCCGTTTGGGTCTCATTGATTTTGCCCCGCACCGGTCCCGTACCGGTTTAAAACGGGACGGGACCGGGACATTGGAAGGTTATCCCGAACCATCACGTTGTCCCGTTTGTAATAACTATACAGATTTTGTAGCATGTGACTAGTTTGTAATGTCAACTCAAAAAATAAATGATAAAATATTTTTAGTTTTTCAAGGCCAATTTTTAAATTAAAAATAATACCCAACATAAATATTTACTAACATAGGTTTTTATCTCACTTTATATATCTACATGTGAGTATCTCACAACTAGAACACATGATTTTGAATAAACTAAATCATTTTTGCTTGGTTTTAAATTTAAATTTCAAATTTTGCTAAACCTAACTAATCTCCAATTGAGGGGGAGTGTAACCCTAGTTGTTTTGGGCTTAGCCCATTTTGTAAAGGAACCCTGGCACTATAATATAACTATAAATATAGATACTCGTACAGCTTTTTGATATGAAATAATGAATATAATAATCATAATTCACATTTTTAAATCATGGATGGAAGAGTTTAGATTGCAGTGGTTCGGCCATGTGTGTAGAAGACCGATTGATGCACTTGTTAGAGGAATAAGGAGTGATATGCTTATCCCGAAGTAGAATGTCTATCCATCGGACATCCAGCCCAATTCGCATCAAAATGTCTATTTAGGTGATCACTACAAACACCTCAGGCACATACACGAGATGTGTTGGTACTCCATGGCAAATTGGAAAATAGGCAATCCTGGGCACCACATGGTGGAGCTCATCATGCTCACCCTGAAAGGAATGTTGCATCTTCTCTTCCTTTCAGTTAGGTCAAAAATTGATCAAGTTTGCTAACTTATAAATACACCAATTTGTCTTGGTATTCACCATTGTGCTCTGTTGCTCAGTTTAACTTATCCGGTATAATTCTCTTAAGCTTTACATGTCAAATCAGTCCTCAGATATTTCTATTATCAATTATTGAGCATTTGAGCATATCATTAAATAATAAGTAATTATTCTTTGCTCCATAACTATATTACATGTCATTATTGTGTCACTACTGGCACGACTAATTGATTGCATGTTCCAATTTCTATTTCAGGATCAATCATGGTGTCTTGACCCTGACACTGAAATTTTGTTCTTCATATTCCCCCATTTATGAGAAAAAAAAGTGGCCGTCTCTTATATCACATGAATGTCCCTCTTTTATTTTAGCTACAACCTTCTGTTTCTATTGTTTCTACTTTCTACTTGGTCAATTTTATTTCACAATAAATAATGTTATGGCAACAACATTTGGGCCATCCAAGTTTCTCTTGCTTAAAACTTTTGTTTCTCAATTTATTTTCTAATAAAACAAAGATTGCTGATTTTGAAATGTGTCAATTTGCCAAACACAATCATGTACTTTAGTCTCTAATTCCACACGTTTCTTCTACTGAAATCTTTCTTATTCACAGTGATCTCTAAGGGTTTGGGATGGAATCATACAAATTTTGCTGGCAATGATAGAGCGGGTCATCTGTCCATCTTGATTAAGAGGAAGAAAATTTTCTATCTCTGGTATGGTAATAAACAATTCACGCTTCACACTAAGGGGTTTCCAACAAAATTAAACTTTTTGAAATTTATTTTCACCCAAAAAAACGTAGGGGTAAAAACAGAAGGAACAGTCAATCTCCATTCAACTAAAAGTCTAAAACCAGTTTTTTTACACCACCTATCCCGCAACTTTTCATTAAAATTATTTTTCTTAATCAATAAAAACGCAGATTTCTTAAAGTAAAATATAATATTTAAAATTGAAACACTGATTTAAAATATATAGAGAGAGAGCCAAATCAGTCTTTAATTGATAAAAATATTTAAAATCGGAAATTGAAAATTTATAGAAAAAGAAATTCTTATTTGAATCATGAAAACAAGATAGAGAGGCGTTTCATGTACATCTAAGACAACATCAAGCTTTTGAAAGACTAGAAGTTCATAAATGATAAAGAACGTCTATAGTGTTTCAATTGATTGACACAAAGCACATAATATACCTGATAATTTTGAAAGTAGAGGCAGAGCAAGACTGGGGACTGAGCGTCGAAATTAGCTGAGCGTGTATTATGGAAGAATGGTGAATTAACAGTAGGATACTGAGCGTAGCAAAGCTCATGGAATGTTACGGGCGTCATGCGATGTAGGGCAATCTGGGACTCGGCGTAGCACGGCAAAAATGGACAGGCAAATTAGGGTGTGTTGCTTCCGGACAGCCTGTCCGAGTTGAGAATTAAATGGTAGTAGATTTGGGGTTCACATTTTTGTTGATTTTGAGGTCTTCCTCGTTGCTGTCCTACCGTCCGATGCTCCACACACCCACCTAGTTGGGCAGGGGATCCCAATCCGGAAAATTATCATTGATATCTGCCTCTCTACTAAAAAAAAATGTACGTTTAGCCCTTTTTCTTAGCCTTTAATTTAATATGGAGTAGAAATTACTCTAAGTAGAATTAAACTTTCCCTAAAATGCACAAGTAATATTACTTTTTAAAAAAAATTACACTCGGTAAAACTAAACATTGATTCTACCCTAAATACCCCTTAGGGTATTAATTGATAATGAAATGTTCTAATTCATAATAAAATCATATAAACATTAAAAAAATTAAAAAACTGTAAAAAAAATAATAAAAAAATTTATTAAAAATTTGAAATTTAAAAAAACACTTAATAAAAATAGTAAAAATTCCATAAAAAAAATAAACACAAATGGATACCTCCCCCCCAGCACCACCACCCCCAATCGGAGAAAATTCTGACATTTTGTATAAAAAATGTCATTCTTTTCTTAAAATGCCAAAATAATGGCATTACTACTTTATATAATGTCAAAATTTTCATTGAATCTGTCATTATTATGGCATTACTAACAATCTGGCAGATGCGGCGGTGTTATTTTAACGTTTTTAGTTTTTACAGTTTTTTTTCGTTTTTTTAGATTTTTATTTTATAAATATTTTATTACTTTTCCCCATTTAATTCATTCACTCTTTTTTGAGTGATGGTTAAATGAGTTTTAATTAGTATTTAGGAAAAAACTATAAATAAAGTTCTATAACTTTTGGTTATGTCAACTTTTAATGATGTAATATTATTCAATCAATGATCTGATTAGATAATTAATAAATTTATTCATATCACACTCTTCAATCGAAAATCGAACCTAATATGAATAAAACGATCAAAACTAGAAAACTAATCTCACTCTAGATGGTTTGATTTATGTCTTTAAATTTGAAAATGACTGAATTGAAAAAACTCGACCAAAACATGATAAAGTTGACCAAAAATGAAACAAATCAACTTAAATAATCTAAGCTAACTCTAAAGTATATTTTGGTTATTGGTTTCACCATTCTCAAAAATTACTGTAAAAATTAGAATTGATTAACATCCCTAATTTTCATTTTAGACACTCTTTCTTCTCACTTAAAATGATATCTGTTAAAGTTTATTCCTTCTACATGTAGGCCCAACACGTAACTTATGGATTTCGTGGAAGAGTGCGTATGAATATAGAGTGATAGCAAGTAAGATGGACTTAGAAGTACCTGCAATAGTGGGTCGTATCTTATTAAATGATACGGAGTAATAAGGATCTGTTACAACACACTAATGCTAACTGGCCGACGGTTGTTCGTCTGTCTCGCTCCAAGAATAGTTGAGTACACTGCTATGAGCTACAAGAATGCTAGAATGCTAAGGCGGGTAAGTTGTCAACCCTTTACAATGAAATAAATGCTACTATTTACACTACCAATGGGCAGGTGGGTATGTTGACGTGGAGAGCTGTGGATTGTTGGGGTCTCAACCACCAAATCTCCACCATTAAATGTGATTCCCGTCAGAACCCTGGTTTCTCGCCCAGTGTCTGAGGACGAACGTCCCTGTGAATCCTGGGCCTTGGTGTTGATGGTGCTACCAAGGATGGGGTGTCGTACGTCTTCTGTCGGTTAACCTCTGAGGCTGAGCATCCCGGGTAGACGTACGTCGGTAATGACTTGGACTATGATGGACAACCGCCCTTGTTGGACCTAGACGATCGTCCTCCGATGGGGTAATGGGCCGATCCCTTGATTGGGCCATTAACCCAACACAAGTCCCCCACTTCTGATGTTCAGAGCGTGCACTGGACATAAGGAAGTAAAATCTATCTCCGTCGAACCGGACCTCAAGACGTTCCAGGTGTGACGGTTGCTTGTTGACGGCGGTTCGCGGATCCCTAGGTGACGGCTGCTGCAGAGTCGGTGCAACTTTCAAGGAAAGTCATCATGATGTGCCTGTTGGCCTCTGTGCGACATGTGTCTTTGGATATGCTCCTCGCCACGTGTCGTTATCCCATTTGTCTTGTAAGTGGTGCTTCCCCCTATAAATACCAAGTCCTTTGGCGTTTCTAGGGTTTCCGAATTTCTCCTCTTGCTCTCAAGTGCTCACCGCCCTGCAAGTGTCTCGCTGCTAGTGCCTTTCGTTTTCCGGCTCGCTTTCACCCAGTCTTAAAGGTAAATTTCAATTTTTGGTTCTTCTTTCCCAAATTTCCTTCATTCTCTCGATGGCATGCTCGATGGAGCTCTCCTCGAGCTCAGGTTCTAGCTCTTCCTCTATTTCTGGTTCGGATCTCGTTCCTCAGGGAAGATGAGCACTTCCGGTACGTCTGGTTCTTTGTCTATGGTGGGAACAATTGTGGGTGATGGTGCCAATATAACCGGTGTCCCTCAAGAAGGCATTATGGCGAATGTCGTTCAGGAAGATACCATTCTAGGGGACGCAACGATGGAGGATGTCGAGACGAACGTCATCTCGGATAATGCAACTCCAGGGGGTGTAGCTCAAGAAGAGGTGGGAGAGGCTCGTCTCGAGGATTATGACCCAGGGGCTGAGGCTGTGGACGGTGATGATCTGCAAGTTTTTGATCTGGGCATTCTGATAGACGTTCAGTGTCACATCGTGCCCCTGCACAACATAGACGGAATTGAGCATTCCTTCTTAGACTTAGCCCTTAAAGAGTTGAAGATCATTTTGCCTTCGCCGTGCGTCTATAGTCTCCGGGGAGCGGAAAACTTGCAGAGGCGACGCCTGGGGATGGTCATGGTACATATGGATTCAATAAAATCCGGGCTGCGTTTCCCCCTTCATCAATTCTACATCGACTTCTTTCGATGTTTTGAAGTTGTTCGTTCAGTTCATGCCGAATTCGTACCGATATATCTCAGCGTTCAACAGAATTCGGGGCTAAGGGTGCATATCTGAGTTTGGACCTTCCCAGAATTTGGATGGCTTCCTGAGTGTCGTCGCACGTTCTGTCCAAAAGCTATTCTATGGAGCGCCGGCCTCCATTCATGATTGGAAGAATCGATTCTTTTTCCTCCGTTGTCCAGACGGCCAACTCCCCGTGATGTGGAACGGATACCCCCTGAAGATCGAACCGCCAGAGATAATTGATGATTTGGAAAAAACCATTTCGAAAGTGAAGACGGGCGACCTAGAACCGTTGAAAGGTTATCTCACTCCTGAGGTGCTTGCCAAGGCAGGAATATGTACCACTCGAGTCTCTGGTGTTAACTCTTCCCTGAAACTCGTCTTCGAGAACCCGGGTGGTTGTGCTCCTGAGGTAAGTGTCCTCGAGTTTCATGCTGCCCGGTACTAACGTTTTTGTTTCCTCGTTTCAAGCCCTCCTCCCACCGAAGAGAAGATGAACCAATATCATCTTCTGAGGAACAGAAAAGCTAAGGCTACCAAGCAGAAGGCGGCGTGGGAGAAGGCCAAGGCCGCTCAATCCTCTGAGGCCAACTCTTCTGCGGCCTCCCAGGCCGACAAACGTACGGAAAAGTTGAGCAGCAACTGATTCTAGCTGAGACGGGCCAGGGCTCTGAGGACCAAGTTATTGAATCCGGCTCCGCTCAGGATGCAGTGCCGTTGACAGTTGTCGTCCCCAAAGGCGGGGAAGCGACTAAGGAGAAAAGGACAAAGAGGCACCGTCCTGTGGTCGAGGATGTTGTTTTACCTTCTCTTGGTCGTTCGGCGGTTGAGATCTAGAGGGAGATTGCCCTCCGGTCCGGGTTGCAATTGCCGCCCTGATCCTCCTTTGAAACCGTCAGTGCTGCCTTGACGGCTACCATTCATGTATATATTGCCTGCTGTTATGCCGGTTCGTGCTAACTCCAGTTGGACGTGTGCGCCCTTATGGTTTTCTTGTGTAGGCTGGACTGATCCTGCTGCAGTCTGAGGCTGCCAGGGAGCCGAACGCCCTGCAAACCAAAAACAAGGCTAACGTCGCTCTGAAGGTGGTACAGGAGATAACTCGTTGATGTAAGTTTTCTCGCACTTAAAATAGATCATAATATAGTGGTGTAAGTACGAGTATCGTCTCCACAAGGACAGACAAAAGGGAATCAAGAATTAATTAAATTCAGCGATTAAAAATAAATAAAATAAATGCGTCGTGAGAGATATGATTGGTATGAAAATTAAACTAATGCGAATGAGCTATTAAATAAATAGATTGGTTTTCTTCTCAATTAACGACAAAGAGAACAGAGATTTATTCCGGGATAACCAGATTTCTGGCAGATCAGATTTAATTAAATGAAATTCATTCAATTGATCATACTTAACAGAATCGGGATGAATAGAATTAATTGTCATTAATTAAAAATATTGAACTTACAAATAATCTTAGGGTCTTGAATAATAAAGCGGAACAACGCAGATCATCAATTCGTCCTTAAGCCTCTGCGTAATGTTTGTAACCCCTAAACAGGAGAACGAAGACCTTATTTATAGAAAACAGATAAGTTTGGGCTGAACTGGGACAAAAACGGGGTCAGACACGCCATTCCTCCCTGCTATGCATGACTGTGCCTGCGAAGCAGGGCCGAGATTCGGAACTTCGTGTAAGGAATAAATGTATTTAGATTTTGAAGATGCTAGATTAATTAGAACATTAGAGTACCCCCATTGGATTTTATGTATTAAAATTTTTCCAAGTGTAAGCATTCTAGAGTAATCGACTGACAGAAGACCTCTAGGACCTCTGCTGAACATTTACTGAACATAAGACTTTCAGACCCTCTGTTGAGAACTTACTTGACAGAAGAGCTCAAGGCTCTCTGAAGCTGTCTCTCTACTAAAGGTTCTCTGGACAGAAGTGCTCGAGGCCCTCTGTGCGTAAGCCTCTCTGTTAGCCCTTCTGTTGTCACTCAGAAGACCTAACACTTAGACAGTTTTGCAA